AACCTCTTTGAGCTCTTCCCGACAAGGGACACGTTTTTTCAATGGATTTCTGCAAGATTAAGGTCTGGATTGGTCAAGGGTTTCTAACGCCAATGATTGTGTCTATGTCAATCAGGGTGATTTACAACAGGTGGCTATGCTTTTCTGTGAATTTTTTCATATCAGTGGGATTTGTTTGAGTCAGTTGTAGGGTAAGGAACTTTGGGGTGTAAGAATATTTGGCTCTTATGCGACTAAATTAAGTACAAGTAGGATTCAATTTGACTACCTAGAATTTCGCAATAAAACTTAAATATTACATCTAAGAATTCTCAAGCATCAAAACCCTAAAGATTCAATTGCATCACACAACCAAAGGCATTTACAAAATTCTCAAAAAGCCTTTGTTGAATAATTGGCTTTTCTGTCAAAAGTGAGATTATGAAGGTATTTATAACGCTTGCTTAATAATCTTTTCCAAATAGAATTAGATTAAGAATTTTTTAAATATAAATACTGATACTAATACTAACAAGGAATAGTACTTTTTTTAAAATAAGGAAATACTACAATTGAGAAAAGAAAAAAGAATACTAAGTAACTCAGGAAAAAATAACTTACAACCTAAATAGTTAAATACTAAAATAAGAGTAAATTTCTAAGAAAGATAGTTGTTGCAATAACCATCAACTGCAGCATCCTTCTTTAGTTAAACACTTTTTTACAACTAATGATACAATAATTAATAATTCAGTCAATCGAATATTACATAAAACTTCATGACAAAAAAAAAAATAGAATATATTTCTCTAAAAAATAATAAAAATTTAAAGATATGACATAAAATTAAAAATACCATTTTTAGATAAGAAAAAAACCATCTCTTTTTATCTGTAGATAAAAGAGTATATTATTAGATACTTTATTTTTAAAAGTGAGGCTATAATAGACCAGGAAAAAATTGGCTTATGAGATTTATAATTGTGATTCATGATCCCTAAACATAATCCTGATTATCAGAGGTCCTATAATCACCTTGTGAATACACACTCTACATTTTTATTTTTTTTAAAAATAATTTTTCTTTTTAAAATATAAAATGTATCATGTATCAATATAGACACCAAGAGGGTGCCACCCATTTACAAATAATAATAACAGTAATAATAATAATAATAATAGTAGTAATAATAATAATAATAATAATAAGAGGTCCCATGATCACAACTCAAAAGGAATTCTCGTTTGACCAACCAAATGCCAAAATAACCATCCCAGTTAGAGTAACTAATCCATAATAGCTCCATTACACTCTTGCTCAACGAACCAAACAACAAATCAATGTAGGAAAGAATTACTTGAATTGTGAACCAAATATTAGAATTATGATTTAACTTCACAATTCAAGAATTTTCTGGTAATTCTTACTGTTCTGTCACATTCTAATGCACATTAACATTCTCTAAAAGATATTGCGGAAAACATCCATAACCCAAAAAATTCCCAAGCACAGACCATAAAAATCAGAGAAAACATCCCCAACCACAATTACATAAGAGATGGGATATTTCTCGAGAGAGTGTTGGATTCAGAAGAGGAACCAATCAAGAGAACTTGTATAGTCAAACTCGAAGCTTAAGAAAGTCAAAGCAGATTAGAGCCAGTGAGCCCTACTTGCAATTAGGCACAATTGTAGCTCATGCTCGACTTCTAGCCATGAAATGACGATGAACTTCTGTATCGACTTCAATGGAGGAGGAGTTTGTAGGTTGGAGATCGGTGGAGATGCAGTTGCAATGGCAAGTGGTGCATTTCCAGCAAAGCTGGTGGTGGGGCTTCTATGAGTCACTGGTCGAGGTCTTTTGATACTGGTAGCACCAACTATGTTTCCTTGGTGACTGCAATCTAAAATGGTAGTAGGTAGACTACACTAGGGATTGTGCTTTTCTGCTTTTTTTTCCCCAAATGGGAGTGGGGCTCTTTGGGTGTTTGGTTTAAGATTTTTTTGAGCTCTAATACCTACTGACATAGGACAATTAGGATTAGTTTGCCTACTTGGGGTTTCCTAGAATCAAATTTAAGAAATCTTAAGCATTACATTTCAGATTTGATTGTATCAAAAAACTAGAAAATTGAGAAAAACTCAAAATATTTTATTGAATAACTGAAACTTATCCTTAAAAGTGAAATTACAAAAATATTTATGATGTTTCCTAACATTTACTAAATAGGATTAAAGAAATATTGATAAATAATGCATTCGCAAGCATAGATTTGCTTGATATCTTTCAACTTTATGAGAGTGCTATGTTAATATTCAAACTAGACATGTAATCTAGAATTCACTTAGGTTTCACTCAAATCCTTAAGAAAATAAGAATTCTCAGAGTCCATCAAAATATAAATTTTTCACTGAAAGATAACACATTAATAATTAAAGGTCTCCTTTACAACTTGTAGGACTTTAATATCTATGGTATTCTCAATACTAATCACAAGATAACAATGATTACTAAAAAAGAAATCCAATAGTAAAGAAATTATATAATTCTCAGTTAAATAGGAAAATATTAGAACATAAAACCAAATTAGAGACATAATTAAAATGATATTGAACTACTGACGCATTTAGAAACATAAATCCAAAATAAATATTAACATTTTAGATAAAAATAATAATATCTACAATTCTTTCTCCGCACCAAAAAGTGTTCTTGTTTCTAAAAGTTGAAAAAATGAAAAAAAAAAAAATTCTGTTTGTAGTAACTCAAAAGTTAAGAAAAATATTAGCTATAAGAAAATAGTCAATAATACTTTTTATTAAAATCTTTCCACTAAATTTTTTGAATATTTTTCATTTCTATCATTTTCTCCCAATTTGGAAGGATGGAAAAATTAGAGTTCTAGGACAAAGGGTCTCACAATCTTTCCATTTCCTTTACTAATTATTATTTTTATCTTAACAAGTAAAAAAGGTTTATGAGCATACTATTGTTTCCTTTTCTTTCACTTCCTTCTTTCAAGATATAGTGTAAGAATTTGGCTACAGGATGGTGGATCATGTTTTAGGTATGCAATAACTAAGGTAGGAAGAACGGTCAAGGCTATATGTTTAGGCAAAGAGGGATGAGTTTTGCTGTCGTCAAATTCTAAGAGTTATTGCAAGCATCAAAGCAAAAGGGAATGTGGCACAAATTCATGGTGGATAAGATGTTCCTAGTGGAAAGGTAAGAAAACAATTGGGATACTTCAACTGATTATAGATGCTAACACTAGGACTACTTAATATCTCTCCTCCTTTTTGTCCAAAAAAAGATAGCTGACTCCTAAATAGACAATATTCTAGAGTTAAAAGAAACATAACTTCTAATTTACTTTGGAAATCTAGGTCCAATCTACTCTGCATCATGCATATTTACAGCCAGTTCTCTTTACGGACTGAGTCGAAATAGTAAGGGCTAAGTTATATTTTATTCAGAATAAGGATTCAGTTCCAAAACTCAAAGACCCCATGTGATTTATCCTTTTAGCAACTGAAACCACTTGAATTTGGTCTAAGAAACAAAATGGCTATTCAAAGAGGGCAGAAGAGTAGAGCAAGAGAGAGGGACTGCTCTCATTAATATCATTTCTGAAAGCATAAAAATTTGAGGTAAATCTTTGTTAAGAAACTATGATTTTGAAGAATAATAACATATATATCCGAGAGGGTATGAAGTTTCCCCCAATTGACGCAATAACCCTTGTAATGCGTGGCCATTTCTTGAAGCAACAATACTTGTAACTTCTATGCTGTGGCAAAACAGCCTCGTTTATCTATCATATTAAGGGAGCACCCATATCACCTTTTTTTCTAAAGCATCCATATCACCCTTATTATTGCTGTTCTAATCCCCCCCCAATCATTTCCAATATCCAAGAAAGCCCAGTTGCAGAATACCTATTTATCCAACATCCCAAAGCCTTCTCTTCCAACCCATTAATATCCACAATGCATTTTACCATTCTATGGACATCTCCACATATACATTCAATCAAAAATTTTAGAATAGGATCACATTCAACCAAATCATCCTCGTGTAACAGTATGTTCAGCGGATGGTTCCATAGCCGTTGCCATCTTGGCATGGTCATTTGAACCAAATTTACTTTGGAAAAAGAGAAAGCCATAGCATGCACTTACAAAGCATTCACATATCTGGCTTCCTATGAATACAAAGAAGCCAAAGAAGAAGGAATTTAACTAATCAAAATGACAAGAGAAAAACAAGGGCCTCAAAATTCTCATGATCATTATATCATGAGAAAAAAGATCTTCTTTCATTATATCTAATATAAAAAAAAGACGTGCATTCTAAGGATTGGAAGTTGAGATTAGGATCGAGGACATAATCTGCCAACTACAATGTAATAGGTCCCAGTCAAAGCCAAAGGAAATTGGTAAAAAAATTCTCTTCGGATGAGAATAACCACAAGATTTTAGATTCAAAAATTGCCTCCCTCATTGCTGTTCATTAACAGCTTTAAAAACACAAAAATATAACTGTTGGTTCCTACTTTTAAGCAACTAAGATAATGGAAAGAGAACATCAACTTAAAAAATGGGATAATGGCTTAACTGCTTGATGACCGAGTCTACCGCAACTGCTAATTCCCACGTTTTACTGCCGAGATACTTTGGGCGTTTAACACAATGTACTGAACAACCGAAACTAGAAACCAAAATCCGGATACATATATGTTTATTTATATATAGATCACTTCAATTAGCTATCCTCTTAACCAGCCAACCACTACACTCTCGATGAAGATGAATTATAAAACTCATATTAGTTAGTAGAGGATAAATAAAGAACCAATAATCAAGTGACAATAAGGTTTAACAAGCGAATCCAAGGCTAAAACGAAACAACAATCATGAACACAATAACATTTAAGAAATGATGAAAGTTCAAAAAAAAAACAAAAAACAAAGATTATAAATCGATAGGCTCCGATTATATCGGAGGATATATACATACCGATGTTACCGCTACAGCCGCCGCACTGCCCGCCACACGGTTCCTCTCTCTGATTCAGACTCTCAGGCTCTCTAGGGATTTTCGGTCGATTTCTTCGCTAGATATCCTTTTCTCCCCCACTACTCCCCCCACTCTATAGCTCTCACGTGCTCATCACGTGATGCGAATTCAACCAGGCCAAAAAGTCAACATTTTTAATTTTCATCATTAGAATAAATAATAAATAATGATAGAGTTAATGATGAAATTATTAAAAACATTAAAGATAACAATAATAATTATAATAAAAATATTACAAATTTATATGAAAATTAATTACTGATATACGATCCACGTGTCCACAAGCTAGTTTGGGTCTGACCAGACGGGCCGTTGACCTGGCACTAAGACAAGCCTGGCCCGCCATATCCTTTACTTAATTTGTTTCTAAACTAGATTTGTAATTTGTATTATGCATGAGTTAACTAATTAATTATATTAATATTTAATATTTATTTAATTATAGTAAAATTTCATTAAAATATTATTACAATTTTTTAATTTTTTAAAAAAATATTTTAATTACACAAAAAGCAACATATGTCCTTTATACTTTTTGTAATTAAAATTAATAAAGTAAAGAAATTTTCATTATCAATTTCTCAAAAAATCTATAATGATTTTTGTATTAGTAATATCATAATCACAGGAATTAGTTGCCACAATAAATCAAATTTCAGCTGCTGAGAGGATAAAAACATTGAATTTGATAATCCCACAAGGCAATTCCATTAATTGAAGGATAAATTGAAGTTAGAAATCATACACACAAAATTTTTGTGCAGGAGTAGGCAACAAAATCCAGCCATTAAATAGGCTAAATAGTATCTGTACAAATATGCGGCAGCAGTAGCTTCAGTATAATCTTTGGAAGCAGCTAATGGTACCATTAGCATATATTGGTGTCCAGGCAATGTGTCCCCAAGTCGTTAGTCCATTTGATCGAGGGAGATTTTATCCATTTCCAGTCCAAAATATTGTCATTGCTTATCTACGTTTTGCAGGTTATCATATTCAATGAGCGGAGGACCTAGACATCAATAGAAAAAGAGGATATAGACACTTGGAGATATTAATCCAATGGCACACCTCGAGATTGACTGCACATAAAAGAACACCTTAAATATAACAGACCACCCAAGTTGTTCTTGCAATGAGGGAAAAAAAAAAAAAAAAAAGCCTTGACTGGCTCTTGAAGCTGCAGACGGGATGTCAGATGCAACTAAATCTAAAGCTGCAGTCAAGTTTAATTTGGCATGTTCTGGTGACCATTTGCAAATCCTCGAACTAAACACTTCTTTGCTCTTGCCCCTTTCCCTTTGCATATGCCCATGGTTACTATTTTCTTCATTGCAACACTTGCTTTCAAGGTATTTCAAGGTAGTCTGAGGCCGCACCACCAAGAGCCTCCAACCAATTGGCAACATGGTGTCTGCCTCTCTCTATTTTAGATACTCTACTGGAAAGGCCATGCACCTAAAAAACTCAACTTTCGAAATACTTCAACGGGCAGACATTATTAAAGCTCATCACTTAAAGGTTATGACTTACGGGAAAACAACTAAAGGTCTAGATGTAGCATAAATACAGAATATGAGTTAAATCAAATAAAAAATAATTCAGAAAAAAAAAATGTAATTAATAATTCTTGCTTAGTACATTAAGAGTAGTTCTAATTACTATAATTTTCAAACTGTCAAATAAATTGAACATAATTATAATACCACATATGAGATTAACAAACTTTTGCTCTAATTTCTTGTTTTGAATTTTAGGAACAAAAATTTACCTACTTGTGAAATCTCAAATAACTTCTTAAATTTTACTTCAAAAGTCACTTTTAACTAAAAGAAACTTTCTTAATTTTTGTCAAAATTCCACTAGTTCACAACAAAGGGGCAAATCGAAATCCGGCGGCCAAATATTTCTTCAGAAAAAATTCCGCCAAACAGACTCTGAGTCAAGGAAATTGCATCAGTTTCTCTAAAATATACATAGAAAGAGATCGGGATTTAAAAGGAAATGAGTAATTAAAGGCTTCAACTAAATGTCAATCATTCCTTGACTATGCTTTTTATCTACAACTCAAATACACATAGGATCAAAATCGAAACTGGACAGACTGTCTCATAATAAAAATACCATTCCCGATTTATGCATTGATACTAGTCAGATTGCTCAAATGGGACGCGAACAAACAACTGCCCGTGGAGAGTAACCACAGCCGATGTCTGATGTGGGTCAATTCTTGAGGGTAAGCTGACAACCTGGAACCAGAGAAAAATTACACCAATATGTTGGAGCTTGATTAAAGATTCGCATCACATCCCATACTGGCAATAGTGAAATAGAAATGAAACCAAAAAGCAAATCAGCATGAGAGGTAAAAGATTTACGATACAGAGAACAGATATTAATGCAATTGCAGCCATTGCCCGGACCAGGGATACCTGGACAACTAAAATGTGGCTGTTCCATATGAAATAATTGGATTATTCATGAACAAATGTTTGAGTTGAGACATAAGAGCTATTCCTTAAAAGAGCTCATTCAGCACAATCCCATTAGTGAGTTTCCCAGTCAACTCTACAAAATAGATCTCATTTAAAAAGTGTGAGGGTTCAAAAATCTCAAATAAAACCCAATGAACTAATCTAACGGTTATCAAATCCAAGACTTTGACTACCACTTTTTTGATAAAAATTTTGATGACATTAAACAAAGGCTTACACCAATCAATCACTTAAATTCAACAACTCCAGTTGTGATAGCCACAACATAACTGCAATGTCTTTAATAATAAGTCCTTACTAGACCGGAGAAAAATTCCAAAAGAAAAAAAATATGAAGGAAGAGAGTATGCACCTTTTTGAAAGGTGTAACACCCCAAAGATTATCAGGATGCTCAGGCTCTCCACTTATAACCAAGCGTCCAGCTGGATCTGATTGAACACTCCCTGTAACCAAAATGACGATGAACATTCAATTGACCAAATTATACAACATCAGGGAGATTAAGCACCAAATAGCTAAATTATAACAAATTTTGTCATAGAACCTTCCACACCCAGTTGAAATCTAAGACACCTAGTAATATATTTTACCACTATCCAATCCCACCAACCCCCAAGGACCAAATACTATTTCAGGTTTCACTCATCACCATCACACATACTGCAAACTGAATAATTACCCAAATCAATCTTTCACTAAGCATCTAAAGGTAGCTCATCCAACTTTGAGCACCGATTAACACTATAGCAATAACTCCACAAAGTCTCAGGGGCAAGTGATAAATCAAACACACTGCCCCTTTCAACAATAAAGAAAAAATTTCAGTAGGGCCATAGGATTTTAAAATAAACTGACAGAAGATTTAATAGGATCCATATTATTTTTCATAAGATTATATTGGTTATTTACAACAATATAGGATCAATTTCCATAGCGATCTCATAGGATTATATTGGGATCCTGCATGCTTACCTCCTCACGCAGAAGTCCTGGAACTAAAGCGTAGACCTCAAAGCAATCTTTCTACAAAAGAAAAGCATATTATGTTCAGTAAACTGCAAATAGCCATATTAAATTTTTTCCCAAATTAGAGAGGAGAACTTACAGTTCTCTGTACATTAATTTTTACCCAATCAGCTGGGGGTCCAACACAAACCACTGTCGTGTCCAATCTAGAAAAGAAGAGGAAAAGCATTCCAGGTCGATGAATTTTTGCCCAGAGTGTCACTTCTCAGCTCAAATTCTACACAAAAAATCTATCTGCAAACCAAATTATATGCAACAGAAATCTTAACTGTGGTTTAGACGTTTTTGTGCGAGCAGCTTTGATGGTGTGTTCCATGTAAGAAGGTCTCTTACGTTTCAGCAAACCTGAGCCAACAGACAAGATCTAAAACTTAGAACTATAATCAGATTTAATATTGAAAAAAATATCTGGACTGTATAAGGCATACCAAGGTTCTTAAGCTGTTTTTCACGCTTATGTAGCAAAAGAGAATTCTTATCCTACAATATTACAGAAGATGGTCTTAATTGAAACAGTTGAGAGAGAAAAACATAGCTACACAATCAGTTGAGGCTTGACTTTACTAGACCTTAATAATAGGATCACTAACTTCACCGTTACCAAGTAGGCGCTGTGAGTGCCAACCCTGCATAGCACGAGCTGCTGCATCTCTCCTTGCTCTACCTGATACTGAAGCCTAGTAGCAACATCAGAAGAAACGTTAACCAAGATCAATAACCAAAAAAAAGCAACAATGTGAAATCTATCATCACGAAAGATGCAACATGCTCGTAATTATGCAACTTTGAAGGAAAAAGAAAAACAAAAAGAGATTAAGCAAAGGATGTCTTCTCATTAGCTTTTATTCTTACCTGGTGATCGACATTCATTGGCTCTGAGTTGGAAGCAATGGGTATATCAAGTTCCCCACCATGCGCCTGATGCCTTTCATAGTCGAGAAGCGCCTGGAGTTCAAATTCGTAAACATGAAATAAAAAATATCAAGAACTTGAGCATACAAAACAATCTGGGATGTATTATGAAATGATGGCTGCAGAAATGCATGACTTGTTAAGCAAACAGAACTCAAGATGAACTTGGCCCAACCAAAGGAAAAGTAGAAAATCAGTCAGAGTGGAGAAAGGCACAGACATGACTTGTTTCAGGCTATAGGGCCAACAAATGAAGCAAGTTATTAGGTATAATTGCCACATTAACTTAATTCAAATCTTTAATCTCCAGCAAAGTATAATAGTATAAAGTGTTTCTAGAGCAGAAACTCACCTCCTATCTCTACTGACCCACTTAAACGATATAGAAGATAAACAAGCATAAAAATTGGCTTTGGAAGCCAATCACGGGCGAAATAAGCCAATGCACCTTCAATATAGCAGCAGCCATCCATACAGTATTTGGCCGATAAAGGAGGGTTACCATCCTTATATCATAACCCAATTATAGTTTTACTTTAAAAAAGCAACAAACAGCTACTATTATTACTATTATCCAAAAAATTTTGAAATGAAAATCTCTATCACAAGATGATCAAAACTCAATAAACATTTGTAATTCATACCAATCCACCTTTGTTATGAGAATATCTTCAGTGGTGCTAAGTTATTGGTAACCAAAGAAAAGCAACTGCTGTTCAGTCAAATCTAAGGTGGAGGAAGCATTTTAAGGTCCGAGACATAGGTGTCAAGTGAATAGGAGGCAGAGAGCCAATCACGTGTGGGAGCATGAGCATAAAAAGGTGATTTTTGAAATCCAGTGGATCTGTGTATTAGAGAGTAAATTACGTAAGATATATTGTTTTTATGAGCAAAAGTTACACCATAAAGCTTACTAGTTTATTTTAGCAGAAATAAAAACTAACTAACAATTACATTAACCTGAACAACTTTGTAACTGAATTTGTATAGTAATCCAAGTATGAGAGAACATCTCTAACGTCCCCTATATTGTCTCCAGTAAGGAGAGAATGACCTTCAAACAAAATATGCAAAGTCTACAACCAAATATCTCTAATTCTACAAATAGGAGAGCAAATACGTCATAACTCAATCTGTTAAGTTGAAAGTCCTTGTCTTCTGTCTTTTTCAATAAGTGCACAAACGTGGTCATAAATGGAGGTTCTACCCGCCTCCTCACTACTGGGCAACTAGTGGGCCTTGGCTTAGTCCCCGTATCTCTAAAATATGTTCCTTATCTTAATGCATTAGAAAATGAGAATCCAGGTTCAAAGCTCCACGATCTCTTGATAGAATAAACCCAATATTTCCTCGTGGATCAACGTCCATTAACGCTTTATTTGACATCCTAATTCTTTTTCTCTCAATGCTTTCCTCGTACTACCAGGGAAACTTCAAGCTCTCTTTCTACTCATTTGTGGGAGAACAATCAATGGATAGGTTCTGGGGAATAGAGGTTTCAACACCTGGGGCAGAAGCCCCGAGGAAGCTATTAGGGAAGGTGATTTTGACACTAAGAGAATTCATAATAGAACAAAGCATATGGCCTTCAACTGTATGAAAGAAGCAATCAAGAGGTGACAGCTGCTGACACGTTAGTGGGAGAATATGATACAGAGACTTTCATTGCCTTGAACTCCTCATATAAAGCAATGAAGGAAGTTTCAAGTGTTAAAATGGAATTCCCTCAAATTTTTTGTGAACCTTTATCCTTGGCCATTGCTCACTGACCCTACCAAAATAACCAAGATAGAGAAGATCTTAGTCTTTTATCCCATAAATGAAGAAAAAGAGAAGTCTATAGAGTTATGAATATGTTAATATGCTGCTTTATTTTGCCAGTTTAGTTCTCTCTTACTGAATCTATCACTTGAGTGCCTTATCTCCTTATCCCAAGGAGAATCATCAATTTCTCTTCATATCAAATGACATTAGGAAGGCTGAAAAGTGATAAGTCTTTTAGATTTATAAGATATTTCATTTTCCTTACATTATCTTGAAAAGTTTAGGTTTGAAATATAAGTAACCCTGTGTGGAATCGCTATCATTACAAGTCAAGACAAGAAGCCTTATCAAGAAGTTGTTCCAGTATTCAATCTTGGTTTGGTAGGGTCATAGGTACAATGGTACAATTCACTCAGTAAGCTTGATACAGTTCTGTATGGTTAAATTCACAATTACATCGTGAAGAATCCATTCCTTTCTGTTGTTGCTAGCACTTTCTCAGACCGAGAGAAAATTTCTCATTATAAAGGGCAAGCAAAGCCTAAATGTTGCTATCCCTATAGGCTAGCAGGCGAAATGAGGAGAGGCTTCAACACTCATACCAACAAAAGCATGCTCCCTTCAAATAAGACACATACTCTAGCTTCTTTAATTTTGATGAAAAAGAAAGAAATGATCTACAAAAGTGTTTTTTTTCTACCATCGTATCTCCCTCCCTTCGTCGAGCCTTCTCTTTAATGGCTGGGGGAAGCATCCCTTATTTGGTGAGTACTCTTTCCAGCCTTATTCAAATAGGGGGATGGTTTGGTTTGAACATAGGCTCAAACATGACTTAAAGGTCCTAGCTATGTCATGTTTTCAGTACAAAACCTAGAAAGGTGCAGGGAACACAAAAAGAGAGTACCTTCTTATGTTGCATTGAAAAAGGACCTAACATAAGAGCAGCTTATCACCAGGTTCTTCCTCTTGCACCCTAGCTGCCCGAGACGCATTAAGGGGGAAATTAGCAAAGCAAGAAAGGTTGAGGGAGGCATATTATTCTCTTTGCAAGAACTTTTGAATCAAAGAAGCATTCGAAATGGACAAAGTGATTTCATTGGTGAAAACAACCCAATACATTGGGGCTTCAAGGAGCCAAAAAACAAAGTCCGTCGACTTGATTTATTTATTTATTTAAATAAAAAGGTATGATGTATGTATTACTTATAATGGGTGAAAAACTCATTTACAAAATAATTTTGCATTTCAGTTAGCATATCAATTAAGTCACTAAAATTCTCAAAGGAATACAATTCTTGTGTCAAAATCAAAATACCAAGAGAATGAAACCATCTCTCTCTAATTCTGTCGATGCTGTCAACAAAATAGATGCCTTTTTTCAATTAAAAAAAAAGAGGAGCAGAATAGACATCCCTTTGTTTGTCTATGTTTATCATCTATTGATTCAGATTTTGATCGTTATGTCCACTCTCTCTTGAAAAGATTGAGGGAGAAAGAGAAGTTAGATCATATTCCTATATCAATTGAAGATCTTCATCTAATACCAGACTTTGCCTTTTTCTTATGGAATTTCTCATATCCAAGGCACCTTACCACAAGAGTCCGACCCCATATGACTAGCTGGGAAGACAGTTTGCTTTCGAATGAAATAAAAGTAGTAGTAGAGGCCTCATAGCTACTTTCCTTTTAAAGGAAACCAAAGAACTAATCTTTAGTCAATAAGAGCCTATACTTCAAACCAGCCTCTTCTAGCCAGGACAGCCACGTGCATCCACCTAGAGCGGCCACGCAACTAACCCCTTTCAGCTAGGATAGCCACATGCCTCCATCCACCTCAGCCACATGACCACTATTGCTCACCTCAAGCCGCTGTACACCACCTTGCTCAGCTATGACCAGGGTTAAATGCTGGTGGTGTGAAGTTGCGCAATCTCTTCTTTCAATCAGCCTTCATTGCTGAAATTTCTCTTCCTACACAAACCATTCAGGCAGCATGTAGACTAGATGGAAAGAATTACTTGAAGTGGTGCCAACCTTTTTTTTTTTTTCGAAATAATGAAGTGGTGCCAACTTGTTCAGACTATATTGCGCGGAAAAGGGAAAATCAATCACCTCACAACCACAGGACAAAAACTAAGAAATCCTTGGTTTGAAGCATAGAACAAAGAAGACCCCATAATTACAGCCTGATTATGGAGCTCCATGATACCTGAGATTTGTGACACGTACATGTTCTTGACTGTTGCAAATGGCATTTGGAACTCACTTCATCAAAACTATTTAAACCTATAGATGCTGCCCAAATATATGAGGTTAAAATGAAGAAAAGCTGCA